GTCACTGGAGGAATGGCCGCCGAAGCCCACACCGTCTCCAAGGAAGGCGGCGGGGGGCCCTTCGTCCGTTTCGTGAGTCATGGCGACCTCTATGGTGGACTGCGCGGTGCCGGCGAGTGGAGGTGTTGTGCGCCCCGTGCAGGCGCACGTTGGCGTGGCAGGGTGATGCAAGGCGTGTGTCAGGCGCTGGTGAGCAGTGTGCGTCTAGGAGCGATTAGCAGCTTCTGGGCGTGAGCGGCTAGGCGCTGCATCGTGCGCGTCCATGCTAAGATTTGTCTGTTATAGTTGTCGCTGAAATTAATGGGGAATAAATCCCGAGATCCTCATTGAATTCTCTTACCGTAAATGTGATATTTTGCTCTGGTGTCAATTTTTTTTATGAGATGTTGTTGTGCTGTCAACAAAATTTATGATATTTTGCTCGGTAGAGCCATGCTGTCCATGCTCTTGGAGCATCTTTAATTTAATTGGAAATGGGCAAATTTGGCCCCCTAAATGTTTACCGGCAAGCCCCCCGGTCCCCGCATTGTCCTCCTTGGCAACACGGCGAAAACCCTAGATCGAGCACGCCGCCAACCTCTTCACCCTTCACCTCGTCTCGCCGTGGCTGGAGGATCGGCCAACAAAGTCCGCACTAGATCCAAGGAAGGTCTGTTTCATAAGTAATGGCAGCCTATGGATTGCACGGTGCTGGCGCGTGAAGGTGTGGTGTGCCCCGTGCAAGCGCGGGTTGGCGTGGCTGAGGTGATGCAGGGTGTGTGCTAGGCGTTGGTGAGCAGTGTGCAGCTTTCGGGCGTGCGCGGCTAGGCGTTGCGTCTGTGCGCGTCTATGCTAAGGTTTGTCTGTTATAGTTTTTTGAAGGTTGTCTGTTATAGTTGTTACTGGAATTAATAGGAAATAAATCCTAAGAGCCTCATTGAATTCTTACCGTAAATGTGAGATTCTGTTGAGCTGTCAATTTTTTTATGAGATTTTGTTGCGCTGTCAACTAAATTTATGAGATTTTGCTGGGCATTAGGCATGCTCTCAACGCTCTTGCATGAATCCAGGTTTGCTTTTACTCGCAAAAAATAATATGGGATTTAAGTCTATTTTTTAGGCAACATGAGACCATTTGTCGTCTGCGCTGCATTTTGTTCATTCTGGTCATGAACGCTCTGTCGGTTTTTAGTTGGAGAATTAACTTTATTTTTCTTTCAATAGTTATTATAGCAATTCATATTTCGTAGAGGCGTTCGAGCAAACGCAGACCACCCCATGGGCGCTATTGGGCCAGTCATGGATGGTCCTTCCAATTCTGGGAACAATTTGTGAATACTTTTTTAAGTACCGGGTTTTCCCCTTCATTTTCATGTTCATTTTTTGTGAATAACTTTTAAATTTATGAGTATTTTTTTTAAAAAAAATGAGAATATATTTTAAATTCAAGAACATTTACTTCACTCGGCAGCTACTGTCTGTAATAGCAAGCAGAGTCCCATTAAATTCATAAATGTTTTCTAAAATTATGAACATTTCATAAAGCCACAAAGATTTTTTTCTTTGTATTATTGAATATGCAAATATTTCTTAAATGTATGAGCATTTTTAAAATTTGTAACCATTTCTACAGATTTGTGAACAATATGAAAACCCATGATCATTTTTTACAATTCATGAATATATGTATCATCTCCATGGTTTTTTAATTTATGAAGACTGTATAATTCATTTCTAAAAACGTGAATATATTTGTAAATTCAAAATATTCTTGAATATTTTTGGAAAATCAAAAAGGATTTAATAGAAAACCTAACAAAACTATAAAAAAATCAGCTGAAAACCCAGGCAGAAAATAAATCCCCAATGCAATAAGCACATGGCGCTACATGAGCCACCGCCCTACGTGTTTGCTCACAATCGTAATTACTTTTAAAAAAAATGAAACTATTTAGTGGAACATCTATTTAAAGGAATGGATCGCAAGTTCGTCGGAGGAGGAGA